CTTGGTTAATTACTTTTAGGGGTAAATTATTTCACCCTAAGGGACTAGTCAAAAAGTATAGGGGGTGGGTCATCAGTTTTTGAGCCCTTAGAAAAGGGTGGATCGTTCGATTTTCATCGACACGTGGGGATGGGTCATCCTATTTTAAAACAGGAAAAGGCACTTACGTAAAATACTGCTTTTAAGAATGGAAAGCTTGATTCTGCTGCAAAAGTTGGCCGCACATTTAAAGCGTTGCAGCGTTACCGATGTGTAATTTATATTTCTACGTATTAAAATTACATCTAACCGAGATTAAAATGATAAAAAACCTCTCTTTTGTGTCTTCTTTTAACATATGAATAGTATAAATTATATACAATATGAAAGGAGTGCTTTTTTGTGCATTTCACAGCTAAATTGTTCATTCTACGAGATTAAAAGTAAAAGCAACTTAAATTTATCATGGATTATAAACAAGAACTGTAACTGGTTATTATGTATTTCTCATCGTGAACTTTTCATAATTATTTAAATTGCCGTAAAAAATCATGATTTATAAGGGGAGTGGGTCATGTAATTTTCAACTTTCATTTAGGGTGGGTCAATTGGTTTTGTGCCAAAAGGAAGGGGGTGGGCCATGTGTTTTTTATCCACCACATTTCCAAATGCTCCAGACCACCCTCTCTTCCCCCTATACTTTTTGACCAGTTCCTAGCTGAGAGTTGTTAGACCGGAAAGGACCCCTCCCCTATAAAAAATTAAATAATAAGCCGCTGAAATAAGCATTATAAAATATGCGCATTGTGCTATCATAACGGAAAAAATTGCTGCAAAGCTGAATTGGAGAAACTAGTATCTAGGCGGACAAACGTCTTTTTTATTTTCGGTAGGTTATTATTCATTTGGGTATTGGAAAGGCAAACGTTATGTTTGGTACAGCTTGCGACCAAGGTCTTGTGGTATATTTTGGAGTACAGCAGAGCTTACGCGCAATCTATGTTCCGTTACTGGCCGCATAATACTGAAGTAATAAAGCAAAACAGATAAATCAAACCGCTCGCTGTTTGAAAATCAACCGATCCCATTACTACCACACTTTGCTCGAGCCGTGGTTATCTGGTCCTCCTACAGTTTACCTGTTGCAGACGTTTGAGGGGCGATTTGCGGGACTCGAAACGCACGGTAAAACGCCCGCACTAGACGAAGTTATTTCTGTCACGTCAGTTTGTCCTCATACTTCTTTTGGCGTCGCCAAACGAGTTCAGATATTCTGCTCTCAGGGCGTGGGAGAAAACAATGTGCAAGGCAAATAGATTTAGGCCTCATCTACACTACGCCGGAGAAATTTTAAAACGGGGCTTTCACTGTGAAAACGCATCAATTGTTTCCCGTCTTACTTCGCCGGAAAAAATTAAAAACGCAACAATCACCAGTCATATTGGATTTGTGTTTGAGTAAAACTCGGTCAGGGAAATCACGTGATTATCGTGACGTCATCGTTTTCGAAAAGCTCCTTTTTCAAAATGTTTTCCGTCCACCCTAAAACGCAAACCCGGCGTTTTTAGTGTGGACGGTAAGCCTAATTGTAGAAGTAAAGCGACCTTGTTTCAAATTTCTCCGGCGTAGTTTGGACGGGGGATTATACTTTAGTCGGCACTCAGTGAAAACTGCGCTAACTTATCAGGTTTTAAAACCTATCCTGATATCTGGGACAATTACATGTAACATTTCGTCGATCGCTTTTATAAATTGGCGAATTCCGAATCATCGGTAAACAATAAAACGATATTTTTTTTTTTCATTTTCTTTTATTATGAAGCCAAAAGCATTCTAACTTGTTAATACAAAAAGTCTACAGCTTCTCCTGTTCGTCTATAACTTCAACTGAATTATCAAAAAAAAAAAAAAAATGAAAGTACCAAAACCACAATCGTTGCAATTTCACCAACTTTAGCCATGAATAAAGCAAAGCAGTAGAATCACAACATTTCCCGAACACCAAACAAAATCAAAACTACTTCTTAAAAGCTAACTAAGATACCGATAGTAGCCCTCGTTTTAAACAAACACCAGTCCACGCGTGATTTGTTCACTTAAAGACGAACTCAGATCAACAGTATGAAATAATCATGACCTCTTGAAATTTTTCTGGTCACTTAAGCAAATCAACGCGGCGATCACAAAGTCTAAAGTACCAGACCTTTAAGACCGATTTAAGATTTGATAAACTTCTACAGGAGAAGCGAATATTAGTAATAATCCACTCTTTTACCTCTTAATCAGCACAGCAAATAAATCATAAATTTTCAGATCCAGTTCATTATCCATCATTTCCGTATCAGTCGTGATTCAGTCCAAGGAATCCAAGGCTTGCGTGTTTTAGACCACCATCAGGCTAAATACGTGATTGACACTGACTCTGGAAGTTTGCCCAGTGGCGGTCACCATCACATTGTCAGCAGCTCCGGAAGTGGCGGCGGAATTTGCAGAAAAGTAGACGAAGAAAAAACCGGAACGGTTCTTGTAAACACGGACTGGGGAACTCAACACGGAAGAGGTGAATATCGACGACGCTTTGACTTTGAAGTCGAACATCTCAGTCGAGCCAGTGTTGTAAACAAAAAATATCACCAGTGCTCTTCCACGAATCGGCACAGTAAATTCATGTCTGGCGTATAGAACCCGAACCAGGGCGTGACTCGGGTGGACAATGTTGTGGGAGCTACGTTCAAAGTCGAAATTCTTCTTGGTCTTTCCTCTGAGTTTCAGCCTGAAGGGAACCATAGGAGTGAAGAATGAAGCCGAGAAATGAGCGCCACTTGTACCAGCTGGACTGACAGAAGTTGTGTTCAGAACTTTGCCATCTTTGCTCAGAATGTCAAGGTTTAGGGACGTACTACGGATCTTGTCGCTTGCCCTCACTATCAAGATGGCATGAGCGGAATTTCCTGTGGTGTCAGAAACAACAAGAATATTATTAGGTTTTGCTGCCTTTATTTCAAGGCTAGTCTGAGTAGGTAACTTCCACACAGAGCATTTAGCCCGCAACATCAAAGGTGTGTTTGATTGGATTTTTCTGGTATAAGACTATATTCCGGAATATCCCACTATGGCTATTCCGTCTGCGTGTCAGTAAAACGATTATTTTGCAGTTTGTGAAGCAATCCAACGGTTAAGGACGTTCGCGCTAATTGTTTCTGTGCATCCTTACTGCACGCAAATCCACACGCCACGTCATGCATGAGAGCGCGCGCGCGCGCTAAGTAATAAAATGAACAATGATAGGGCAGATGGCCATTGCTATAGCTTTGCCTCGATTTGACAATCTTCGACGTTCGGTGACCCCTATCTTTCTTTTGATGGATCGTTTTCTCTTCAGATTTTCTACGTTCAGCGAAAAAAAGAAGAAAATTTATCGACTAGAAGTTAGAATTTTTGCAAAATGCAGCATCAAATTCCGTTCTTTTTAGCTCTTCGCTTATCTATGCGACGGCTTCAAAGGCCTCTTGAAGGGTTACGTTTTCTGTAAACGTTGGCAACATTTGAAATTATTTACCCAAAAGACCCACTTCTTCAAAATATGACTAACATCGTTCGCCTCCGTTGACTCACCTTTGATATTTTTAACTATAAACCCCTGTAGACGATGCCGAATTACGTGCGCCAGTATTTCAAAATCAGGGTAGTTTTCCATACGCTTTATCTCTGAGACGAAGTCGGTGACCCCCATTTTTTTGCAATTCTGACACAAGTAACTCATTATCTGACTGCAGTAAAAATTTTAAAGAAATCTATCGACTGGAAAATTTTCGCGCGAACGTCCTTAAAGCGGTGGATTCCTGCATGGTTTTAACGGTTACGTTTAGCAAAACTCTACTATTTGCTGGTACAAGGATACGTATCGTTGAAGTACACGTCGTCTGTACTCTTGGTACTCTTGGTACTCTTGGAATTTTGTTGGTATAGGTAAATAAATGATTTCGAGTATAATTTGGAATAAATAAGCAAATAAGTAAATTTTTCCAATTCCATTAGTCTACATGCTTGCAATGTTAATGTCAACTTTCCACAATCAGTTTCAACTCCTGCATTGTCAGCCGATCAGCCTGCTGACAGTTTTGCATCTATGTTATTACCGCATCAACATACATTTTTAAAATTCGTTTTTGTTTTCGTCAGCTAGCTGTTCTGGCAATAATGTTTGCGTATTCTTGCGTTGTCACAAGAGCAGCATGTTGAATCTCAAATAACGTCCTTTTAGTTAGCAACAGTACAAAATATCAGTAAAAAGAAAATAATTAATGCAAAGTCACATGAAACAAGAAAACAGTGTGTAGTGGCCAAGGGACCCGACGGCAAGCTTTCGTGTTGGTCACTACTTAAGTGAAATTATTTAATATGTAAAGGGGGTGTAAGTTATAGACAGCGTACCCAGTGTTGGTATTTATGCCTGGGTGCCAAGGAGAAAAAGTTCTTCTTTTTTGAATTAATTAACATAACATAACATAACTCAATTGGGATAGTTTCCCCAATTTTTGAAGTTAGTGCTTAAAATCTTCTGCAAACTGGTCAGTACAGGTTTTGGTTGGTTGGTTGGTCGGTTGGTTGATTGGTTGGTTGGTTTAATTTGGGTTTTGACTGGATTATAGGGATGAACTTTTAAAATGACAGAGAAGAGCGGGGGTCCTTAGAAGTATATTATGTACAAAAAAGGAATCTCGCAAACACAAAAATGTTCTCTTTAGCAACAGTGACTTTGTCTTTTTTCAAGCTCAGTATCCAGGCACGGTAATGTGGCTCACCCCAGGGCTGGAAAAGCTAGGCTACTCCCTCCCTACCCCATTTAGGGATAACTGCAGTTGCCATTTTATTGCCTAATGAATTAACGAATAGTCAAATAACATTTAACTTAGCTACTCACCAATAAGAGGATGGGATATTGGCAAAGGACTCATCCTCCTGCGAGGAATGACAAAAACGAAATCGAAGTCCACATTTGTCTTGCTGGATGCCTTGATCACGTAAGAGTGTTTACCAGCTCCTGATGACACAGACAACCTCCACCTTCCTGGTCTGGGGTGATCTATCTCGAATATCGCGCCTTTGGCTAAAGTGGTCTTTCCCGAACTGACGGGAACTCCTCGTGGATCTTTCAAGTCAATCCTAGCTCCAGTGTTTTGGGTTGTGACCGAGACAATGACCTTCTCTATTGCGTCATCAAAGGGAAGTTGGTACACGGAGCTGGCGCTTCTTCTCTTCCTTCCAGGTAGACCTGTTCCAGTTGCGCCAGTCCCTGTTCCAGTGCTACAGCTCGTGGCATGGAGTAAACCTTTTGTAATTTTTGACATCTTGGCGAGGTCAGTGCTATGCTTGGGAATTTCAAACATCTGACCGCAGGACTCCGAAGCAAGGTCCTCAAATGGTTTGTATGAAGTCCGGCCACACAGTCCTGTAGTAAAAAAGTATACACTTGCTCCTTTTGCCAAAGCCGTAGCCTTCGCGATGTCGAGCTGGACTTCATCTTTTGCTGTAGCGTCAGTGAAAACATAAAGCGGTGAATTATCTTGAGCCCCTCCATTCAGAGCATCTATGATTCCACTGAAGGCTAGTTCGGGGCAGTCTCCTCCTCCACTCGGCCGGAGGGCTTCGATTGCCTTTACAAACTTCTTCCCTTCCCCTGCCTTCTCATGCTTAACTGGCCCAGTTTCTATACAAGACAAAGAAACATTTAAGCCTCAATTTCCATTACTATGAGAGACGCACTATTCTCACATAGACTAGTAATGAATCGTTTGAACTATGTTGTAGTCTTGATAAGACTTGTCTTAAATAGCAATAAGTGAAAATGGAACCAAAGGACCCCTTTTTCCTTTTATAGAGGTAACCAGAATACCATTTCCATACTAGTGCAGGATGAAATATCATTTCAGGTATTGAATCATCTGCCGTCGGGATAGCGATTAGATCTGAGGGATGATATGGGAAATTATATTCTGGATCAAATTGTGTATTCAGTCTCCTTCAATACAAATTCTGTCGATGCAAAGAAAAAACAAACAAAGAAAAAACACTTGTTACATACTCGGGTCATTAAAAGGCGAAAGAATGTAGTCCACGTCCACGTGTTGTCTTGGATGATCGACGATACTTTTAGCGATGGCTTTGGCCGATACAATTTCACTCCACATACTGCCAGTAGTATCAATAGCAAACATCAAGGTCACTTTTTCATTAACTCCAATCATCTCTTCAAAGACAGCAGGACCTACTTCTTTCTTGATTGTGTCCATGTACGTCTTCACTGCACTTGCGCACGGGATACAACGCTTCTTTCTACCAGCCTTCCGCTTCTCAATCTCAATTGTTGTATACAAACCATGACCAAGGGTCTGCTGGATGAATTCGTTGTTCTTATTTTTAGCGGCCAATTTGATGATGTCTTTGATCTTTGTAAGTCGAAGTGATGATTGACTATAATACCGCTTCATGGCCTGTGCGTCGTAAACGGATTTTTCAATTTCGTCCACTGTTCGCAAGAAGTTATTCGATGGTGTACTTGGTTTCGTACTAGAGGCCCCTTTTAACAAAGAGAAAAGACCGTGAGAAAATAGGACTTAATACGAAAATTCATCAAGGCAGGCAAAAAGCTTCCCACTTTGCTCTAACGAATGGCTAACACTTAAAACGTCAGCTTCACAAACACGCTAAGGAGGTTTATTTACCCTAATGAACTTCCCGGTTGATAGTTAGCTAACTAATTCACTTGCTCAGTGAGGCGATGCAGCACAACAGTTTCTGAGAAAAGTAAGGCTTTCTGTTGTGAACAGTTTTTACCCGAGAAGTGCCATTAATTAAATCTCTGATTACAAGCAAATTGAATTGCATTAGATTTAAGACAGGAACACAACGATAGTGGAGAAGGACAGAGAAGAGTGAAAAAGGCTCTCACATGGTTGAAAAAGTAGAGAACTAAGGAAAACACACATTAGAGATGCCAGTGATGTACAAAAAGGAAATGTCTGGAGGGGACAGCAAAGATGCTAGATATGTCAGAGACATTAAACAAAATAGAAAAAGCGCAGGCTAAACAGTGAAAAGACATTACAGATAATAAAGACGGTAAAGATGTTAAAGACATAAAGACAGTTAGTTTCAAAAATCTCCAGGTGTATTGAAATGGCATGTTAGAAAGCTTAGACAGTCAAGAGAGATAAGATAATGGTAAAGATGGTACCGACAGTAACAGCAGTAAAGGCAGTTAACATGGTAGACAAAGCGATAGATGGTAAAGGCAGTTAATATGGTAGAGACAGTACAGGAGTTATCACTGGCGGTTAAGATGGTAGTGACTTAACTTAGTGTTAGTTTGGTAATGTCCTCTGTAAATATTGTTTTTATTATTATCATCATCATCATTATCATCATAGATAGTAAATTTGGAAGAAAAGTAGAGAAGGTAGAGAGAGTAGAGGTGGTAAAGTGAAGATAGCAGAGACAGTAAAAGCGATAAAACAGTTAAGCTGATAGAGATAGTAAAGATGGAAAAGAAAGTAGAGATTGTACAGACAATAAAGTTGATAAAGACAGTTAAGGTGACAGAGACAGTAACAGTGGAAAAGAAGGTAGAGATGGTACAGACAGAAAAGGTGGTAAAGACAGTGTAGATGGTAGAGACAGTAACGTTGGTAAAGACAGTCAAAATGGTAGAGACAGTAAAGGTGGTAAAAAAGCAGACATGGTACAAACGGTAAAGGTGATCATCATCATCAACTGTATTTACCTCCTCACAGAGTAGCATTGCTGCTAACATTAAGCGATAAAGACAGTTAGGATGGTGACGACACCAAAGGTGGAAAAGAAAGTTGAGATGGTAGAAAAAGTACAGGTTGTAAATACAATTAAGATGGTAAAGACAGTAAAAGTAATAGAGACAGTGAAATTGGTAGAGACTGCAAAGGTTGAAAGAAAGTCGAGATGGTAGAAACCTTAAAAGTGGAAAAGAAAAGTAAAGATGGTTGAGAGAGTAAAGGTGCTAAAGACAGTGAAGATGGTAGAAACAGTAAAGCTGGAAAGAAAGAAGAGATAGTAGAGACAGTAAAAGTGGTTCAGACAGTCGTAGACACAGAGAAGGTGGAAAAGAACGTACAGATGGTAGAGACTCTAAAAATTGTAAAGACAGTTAAGATGGGTATGAGCGTAATAGTGATAAAGACATTTAAGATGCTAGAGAGTAAAGGTGAAAAAGAAAGTTAAGATGGTAGTGACAGTAAAGGTGATAAGGACTGTGAAGATGCCAGAGAAAGTAAAGATGGAAGAGGCAGTTAAGTTGGTAGTAACAGTAAAAGTGATATACAGTGTGAAGATGGTAGGGAAAGTAAGGTGGAAAAGGAAAGTATAAATGGTAGAGGCAGTAGAGGTTAAAGGCTTTATTGAAGAAAGTAAACACAGCAAAAGCCATAAATACAGTAGAAATCTAAAGACAGTTAAAATGGTAGAACCAGTAAAGGTGATAAAGAGAGTAACGATAGCATATGTATGTATGTATAGCAGAGACAGTAAAAGTGATAAAGACAGTTAACCTAGTAGAGACAGTTAAGGTGTGAGAGAAAGTAGAAATGCTACAGACAATAAAGGCGGTAAAGACCGTTAGGTGGTAGAGACAATAAAGGTGGAAAAGAAAGCAGAGATTTTAGAGACAGTAAAGGTTGTAAGTGTAGTGAAAATGGAAGAGATAGTAAAGGTGGAAAAAAAAGTGGAAAAGGTAGAGACAAAAAAGGTGATAAAGACAGTTGAGATGGTGGAGACAATAAAGGTGGAAAAGAAAGTAAAGTTGGTACAGACAGTTAGGGTGGTAAACACAATAAAAATGTTATAGACATTGTAGGTGGAAAAGAAAGTTGAGATGGTAGATACAGTAAGGGTAGAAAAGAAAGTAGACATAGTAGAGACAGTAAAGGTAGAAAAGGAAGCAGAGATGGTGGAGACAGTAAAAGTGGAAAAGGACAGTGAGATGGTAGAGAACGTAATGTTGGTTAAGACAGTAGGGAGAGCAGAGACAGCCAAAATGATAAAGACAGTTAATAAGCTGGTGGAGACAGCTATGGTGGAAAAGAAAGTAGAGGTGGTAGACAATAAAGATGGTAAAGTCAGTTAAGATGGTAGAGACAGTAAATGTGGAAAAGAAGGTAGAGATGGTAGAGAAAGTAACATCGGTAAAGACAGTAAGGAGAGTAGAGACAGTAAAAATGATAAAGACAGTTAAGCTTGTGGAGACAGCTAAGGTGGAAAAGAAAGTAGAGATGGTAGAGACAATAAAGGTGGTAAAGACATTTAAGATAGCAGAGACAACAAAGGTGAAAAAGAAAGTAGATATGGTAGAGACAGTGAAGGTGTTCATCGTCATAAAGTTTATTTATCCTTGATTTACAGAGTGGCATTACTGCTAATGATTAAGTGATAAAGACAATACCGACGATAGACTGTAAAGGTGGAAAAGAAAGTAGTGGAGATAGAAACGGTACAGGCGGAAAAGAAAGTAGGGATGGTGGAAACAGTAAAGTTGTAAAGACATTGATGATATTGTACAGACAGTAAAGGTGATAAAGAAAGTGGAAGTGGTAGAGGAAGTAAAGGTGAATGGTAAACACCATAAAGGTGGAAAAGAAAAGTAGAGATGGAATAGGGTAGTAAAGTGCTAAAGGCAGTGAACATGGTAGACACAGTAGAGGTGGAAAAGAAAGATGAGATGGTAGAGACAGCAAACCTGGTTAACACAGCAGACAGAGTAAAGGTAGAAAAGAAAGTAGAGATAGTAGAGACACTAAAATTAACAATTGTAAATACAGTTAAGATGACTAGGACAGTATAGGTGATAAAGACAGTTAGGATGGTAGAGACAGTGAAGATGATAAGGACAGTCAAGATGCTAGAGACAGTAAAGATGGAAAAGACAGGTAAGATGGTAGTGAGAGTAAAGGTGATAAGGACTGTGAAGGTGGTAGAGACAGTAAAGGTGGAAAAGAAACTAGAGTTGGTAGAGACAGTAAATTCTGTAAGGACAGTGAAGATTGAAGAGACAGTAAAAGTAAAAAAATAAAGTTGAGAATGTAGAGACAGTACAGGTGAAAAAGACAGTACAATGAAGATAGTAGAGACAGTAAAGGTGATAAATACAGTTAAACTGGTAGAGACAGTAAAGTTGGGAAAGAAAGTTGAGGTGGTAGAGGCAGTAAAGGTTGGAAGGGCAGTGAAAATGGTAGAGATAGTAAATATGATAAAGTAGAGATAATAGGGTCTGTAACATTGGTAGACGGTGAAGTTGGTAGAGGTACTAAAGGTGGTAAAGACAGTTTAGATATTAAAAACAGGTTAGGTAATAAAGACAGTGAAAATGGTAGAGAAGGTGGAAAAGAAAGTAGAGATGGTGGAGACAGTAAAGACTGTAAGGACAGTGAAAATACTGTAGAGACAGCAAAGGAGATAACGAAAGGAGAGATGGTACAGACTGTTAAGTTCAAAAAGGAAGTAGAGAACATAGTGACATTAAATTCATAAAGACAGCTGAGATAGTAGAGACAGTAAAGGTTATAAAGACAGTTGTGCTGGTAAAGACGGTAAAGGTGGAAAAGAAAGTAGAGATGGTAGAGACAGTAACAGTTGCAAAGACAGTTAAGATAGTATAGACAGTAAAGATATACAGATAGTTAAGATGGTGGCGGTGGAAAAAACAGTTAAAGTGGTAGTGACAGTAAAGGTGGAAAGGGAAAGTATAAATGATAGAGACAGAGAAGGTTGTAGGGACAGTCAAGATGGTAAACACAGTTAAGATGGTAGTGACAGTAAAGAATACATGCATAAGGACAGTTAAGATGGCAGTGACAGTAAGGTGATAAGGACAGTGAGGATGGTAGAGACAGTAAAGGTGAAATAGAAAGTAGGGATGATTATACAGACAGTAAAGGCACAAGAAAGCAGAGATGGTGGAGACAGTTAAGGTGCTTAAGACAGTGAAGATGATAGAGACAGTAAAGGAGGAAAAGAAAGTAGATATGGTAGAGACAATAAAGGTGGTAAAGACAGTTAACATGGTAGACACAGTAAAGGTGATATGGACAGAGGCGATAGTAGAGACAGTAATGGTAGAAAAAAAAATAGGAAAGGTTGTGACAGTTAAGTTGGTAAAGATAGTAAATATAGTACTGTCAGTAAACGTGATAAACACAGTGAAGGTGGACAAGAAAGTAGAGATGGTAAAGACAAGAAAGGTATTAAAGAGAGTTAACATGGTACAGACAGTAAAGGTGAAAAGGACAGTGATGATTGTAGAGACAGTAAAGATGGACAAAGAAGTAGAGATAGTGGAGACAGTTAAGGTTCTAAGGAGAGTTAAGATGGTAAAGACAATAAAGGTGATAAAGACAGTGAAGATGGTAGAGACAGAAAAGGTAAAATAAAAATCGAGTTGGTACAGACAGTAAAAAGGTCATAGGGACAGTTAAGACCGTAGAAACAAGAAAGGTTATAAAGACAGTGAAGATGGTAGATATAGTAAAGGTGAAACAGACAGAAAGGTAATAAGGACAGTAGAGATGGTAGAGAGTTTAAATGGTGTAGACACTCGAGCTTGGGGGAGATAGCAGAGATAGTGGGGAACAACAGAGACAATACAATAGGTAGAAATAGCAAATAAAGTAGACATGGGAGAGTTAGCATAGATAATAGAGATGGTGAAGACTATAAAGATTGTTAAGATAGTAGAGTTGGAAGATTAGTGGAAATAATACAGACAGTACATATAGTAGAAATTAAATATTGTAAAAGTACATGAGGTAGAGATGATAGATAATTATAGTAGAGACGGTAAAGACAGTAAAAATGTTACTCGAGACATGAAAGGGTTTAGAGATGGTAGAGACAGTAGAAAGGTCAGTGACAGTAGAGATGATAGAGGCAGTTAGAGACAATATTGATAGTACAGACACCAACGATTGTAAAGACAGTAACGGTGAGAGGGAAGAGATTGTAGAGACAGTAGAGATGGTGGAGAGAATGTTGAAAAGAGGTGACAGTATTGACAGTACTGACGGTGGAGATAGTAGAGATTATAGAGTCAGTAGAAATGGTAGACACAGTGTTAGAGACTTAAGAGACAGTAGACATGTTAGAAACAGTAGATATGGTGAAGACAGTGGACATATATAGTAGGCATGAAAGATTTTAAAGATGTTACAGATGGAGCTAGGAGACAGTAGAAGATGATAGAGAAAGTAGATGTGGTACAGACAGCAGTGTTGGTAGCTGTAGAGCGTGGCCGAGAGATATTAGAAATACAAGAAACTTGAGACGAAAAAGATATAATAAAGAGGATGCAGGTATGATAGAGACCACGGCAACAGTATGTAGAGAGAACTAAGAAATAATAATAATGATAATAGTATACAATTTATAAGTATGTAGAGAGAATGCACGAAATTAAGGTGCAGAAAGATTTCCAACATTTTGGGTCATCAGGAAGAGAAGAATTTTAAACTGAAGGGGTAAACGAAGAGGAGGGTGTAAAATGAGTTGTTAGTTAGAAAATTGTAAAATGTGGTGAGGGAGTCTAGCTCTAGAAATTGATACATTAAACCGTTGAGTTCATGCAGAGTTGATAATCAATTCAACATCAATCAACATCAATCTTTCTTCAGAGTCTATATAAACTCAAAAGTCCCATTTCGGCAACCTTATCTAGTGAAGATAGTAGACATAGTAGACCTGAAAGATTTTAAAGATGGAAGATGGAACTAGGAGACACAAAACTATTGTAGAGTGAGTAGGTATGGTACAGACAGCAGCGTTGGTAGCTGTGGTTCTCCTTTCGTCGGACATTTTCGACTAACATCCACCATTCTTGAACCAGATCTGACTGCATTGCACCTTTTGTATTTTGGGAAGCTTTTTTAGATACATTTAATAGAATCAGTCGGCTGCTCAGTGTTCAAAGTTGACAAAGAAACAAGCAATTAAATCATTGTTCACTGTCCTTGTGCTAGAAGACGAAGCCACATAGAACCGTCTTATTATAACATTTATACACACGTTAGCGCTATAAGGATCAAAGAAATTCTTAAAACCAGATTTAAAGCCATTGAAGTATCGGTTCTGGTGAAGAAAGCAGGTACCAAATTGAACCGACTATGCAGAACAGGAGATGAAGTAGCTATTAAGTCATACAATACCTCCAGAAGTAGACGAGTAAGTCAACAAGGCAGTTCTTGTATCATCCAGAGAACCCACATGATATTGCTGAGACGAAACGAAGTTACTGAAGGATAGCGCGAACGCCAGGCTGATCAAGGTTATCTTGACGCTGAAAAACAGCAGACGATTCTGTGCCTCCATCATTTAACGGTGGCCACTCTCTAACTTGTGATTCAAGGATTTGTTTGCATCTGACCATTGCTTTTCGTTGTCGGGTACTCATTGTATTCCGAGGTTCTATTGCACGAAAATTGAACATGATTTTAGGGACGGTGCCTACTAATGTTCATGCGGACATTTTCTGCGCACACGCAATAAACAGTATCTTGAATCTTGAATCTATAGATCACGCGATACATAGCTCGTGCTGGCGCTGGATCCCTCGAGTTTAATATTTTCGTGACTTTGCTTGTCGCTTGTTTTAAAAGTTGGATGGCATGCCACCTACGGTAAATTACCGTAAAAGAAAGCAGAACGGCCAGTAAATTAGAAACAAATGTAAAAACAAGCGTAGACGAGTTTCCTCGGCGGAACGCGTGACGAAAGCCAAAAACATCGCTGAAACGAGTAATGGAACGGAATTACCAGAATGGACACCTGAAAGCGCAAAATATTAGGTACCTTACACCCACTTTCAGTGTTACGTGCATAGCAACTATCTTTCGACATGCCATCTTTCGACATGTCACTGTAACCTGGCCTACGTCAAAATGTAAGCACAAATGACTTCTTTATGGTCGACCTCGACTTTTAGTCATGAAAGATGGATTTATTTGAACTAATTTATTTTAAACTAAGGCTAGGTGCATCAAGAAAACATTCTGTGAGTGATAAATCGACTGCTTTGAATGTTTACATCTTTCGAATATCAACTGAGCGGTAGCGGCCCAATTCTACCGGAAGTCACTATTGAGAGCCGATCGAGTACACTAAAATCGTTTGAATTATCCCGTAAATCGGGAATCCACAATCTTCTTCATTCATTTGAGGTACATACATACATACATACATACATACCTACATGATTTATTTGATAAAGCAGGTTACAGATCAATTGGCAAGACGTTAAGTCCTGATGTGGACCTGCACTATCCAAGCAATTATCATATACTTGTCATTTGTTCCGCTAATAACCAGAAAAATTGCTAGTTTCACAGGTAAACCGTATTTCAGCCGTTTACATAACATGTCGAAAGATGGAATGTCGAGAGATGGTCGAAAGATATCGCCTGTGCACGTAACACGGAAAGCGGGTGTAAAATACGAGGACGCGAAGGCCAGGACGGGAACGGCAGTGCACGCGGGAAACTTTCGCGGGTCCCGTTGTGTCACCAAAAACAAACTGCTGAAGATGTGCATTTTCGCAAAGGACGGCGACGTCAATAATTCGAACTTAATTCGTACAAGCTATTCACAGAAGCAATGACATCCTTTAGACTATGAAAGAGATGGTAGAAATCTTATCCTATTAAACTTAAACGATATTGCAGCGAACAGCGATGCTGAATTTCTTTTTCTTTATAAGCGAAGCAAACATCTGTCAATATAATAGAGAAATCTGAATTTCCGTATGAAAAAATTAAACGAACAATCAGATCGACCTGCTTCAGATGGCGTTTTACCTCCAGAGTGTTTGAGAATTCTGTCGCCGAAGAATCCTGACTTTTGGTGAACATTTCAATTTCCATCTGTAATTGTAACAAGCATTATAAAAATAAAACAAACGTTGCATCAAGTTCCGGGTAGTAGAAAAAAACAACTAAACATCAGTTTGAAAATGTGTATTTTATTTGCTCGAGCTCGTTAGGTGTTTCATGGCATTCATTCTCACAACATGTTATCGACTGTACTTACACTGATGTACTCTCAATGCATACAGTTTGCATTTTGTTTCGAGCTTGCCCACTCGTAACAGCGTCTGAATAGTGACTGAAACACAAATGAAAGACAAGGAATATTTTTATTCACATTTTCGTATCTCAGCGTAGTATTCTACACTACAATCACGAAAAATGTGAACCTTATAAACATCCTTATCAATATAACGTAAAATAAGGTCAACTGGAACATTTGCCGGGGCAAAACAAGAGTAAAGTGCTCACGTTTTCGGCACGACGGCTAGTCGGACGAAATGGCGTCCTCGATGAGATGGGACGCCAGAGATGAGTAGAGAGTTTCTCGTGCGCATGCCCGGTTGAGTAAATTTACTTCCGGTAGCCGTCCCAGCTCGTCGTCCAGACACCGTGATTCCAGAAAAAAAAACCCGAAGTTGCATACAAGCGAGGCTTAATAGCCTTCGAGCTTTCAAAATGGCGGTCGAAATGTGCGTGAAGAACGAGAAAATCCGAATGTATGTAGGTTAGCGCAACTTGTCAGGAGCAAATGTGGTAACGAAAAGGAAAAGAGCTGGACACAAGTGTTGTGCGGCTGCAAACTCTAATAATCGAAGCAAAAACCGACCTGATTTATCATTTTCACGACTGAGTTTCCTTCGGACAAGCCAGATAAACAAAGAAGGAAAATGTGGGAAATACTTATGAAAAGGGGAGATGCCTATTTTACCTTCATAGGAAATATTTTCTGTTGTTCCGAGCACTTCTTTCCAAGTGATTTTAAACTGAGTACACTTATTGAAACTGGGAGCCGTACCCTCGGTTTTCCCTTGCACAAAAGTTGAGGAGGAATCTCTGTGCGGAGCGAAAAGATGCGAGGTATCAGAGTCTGACAAAGAAGCTAGAAGTGAATACAGGTGTGAATACCCATCAGATTCAATCAGCTTAGGAATTAATCAGTTTTCATGCCTCTGAGGTAAACAAAAAAAGTTTCCCAAAAACAATGTTGAATGTGGAAGGACAGTGATTTAAATACAGCCATTGAT